ACCAAGGGCATTCCTCACTTCGTAGAGAAACCAAAAAAGGAACACGCAGAAAAACCCGAACCAAAGAAGAAGCCTCAAAAGAAGGTTATGCCAACCATACCCGAGGAATATGACCATAACCTACTAAAGGCCGGCGTAGCAGTTGCAAGTATTGGTCTGAGTTATTATATATGGCGATGAACAACCCCTACGTAGCTGGAGTAGATTGCGTTTATACGACTTACACAGGCGAGAGAAAATACAACCAGGCATCTTGGGTTGATGTCACGGACATGTCCGTGAATTTGAACTACTCGGGAAAGAAGTTAATCCTTTGTAGTATTTGCATTGGCACGAGCAGTCACGCCAACGTGGGCTTCAGGTTCCTGGATGAGAATGGCATACTGCAGCCTATGCGCGCGAAGACGAACAACAGAGAGCCTGCGCATTTCTCCGTAGAGCCCAACTCCCGCAGCTATGAGAATTTATCGGTTTGGACTTTTCACATGATCGCCGATTGCCACGGGAAGGTAAAGCTGCAAATGCGCGTAGACGACACGGGAAGTGTTTGCGTAAATAGCATAGAAAATCAAAGAGATCGACCTTATAATCACATGACCATTAGCACTCTTACGGTGCTTAGTCTTTAAATATATGAACCCACATGTGAAGGAAGATTCGTTCCTCCATTACCTGGAGGAGAAGGAATACGCGGGCGATGAATGGCATGACACCGGGCTGTGGGTGAAGGTTGGGGGCCTGGGATTAATCGTGTGCACTATTTCCATTAACACGGCGTATTCGTGTAATGCTGGGTTTAGGATCGTTGATGAGAATAACCATCCATTACTGCCTTACAGAAAAAAAGATAACACCAGGAGCCCAGCTCATTTCTCGTCGGAGCCCCCACCGTTAAGCGCAGAAGACTTAACGCCGGTAACTTTTCACATGATAGCCAATTGTCAATATGCAAAGCTGCAAATTCACCCCAGCGATGGTAGGGGGGACATACGAATAAATGTTATGGGAGCTACCGCCTTAGCGAATGATACTTTGAATCATAAGACCATTTCTACTATGACTGCTATACCCCTGGTGCCAAATTACCAAGGCGGCGCGGCCTCGGGCGTCCGACGACGACGATAAGACTGATAAGCTTAACCCTKCATCTTCTTCAGGAGGACCACCCCAATAGCGACGACCAAGATCCAAATGTTATTCCCCACGAACTTCAACAGTTCACCGCCGGCCCTAAGTGCCAAGGAAACAACCGAACCCAGCAGCCCAGGMARRCCGGCTGCCATCTTTTTTCCCAAGTCCGTCAGCCCATTGCCTAATTTCTTTACGCCCGCGCCTGTAGCCTTAAGCGCGGATAGGATGACTCCTACTACGGTACTAATAGCGACCGCAAATGCCAGTGGAACGCCATACTTCAAAAGGGCTCTTTTTACCTTTTCCTTGGTGGTAAGCCCCAACTCCCTTTCCAGGTTTTCCTTTTGCGCTTGTAATTCCGCAACTCTCTCCTGAAGGGTTTCTACTTCCCTTTGGGCTGCCTCCCTTTCTTCTTCGGGGCGCGCCTGGTCGTTAATTATTTCCTGCTTTTCGGATACGTTTTTTTCCAAATCTTCGATGGCCTGAGTTCTTTGCTGGATTTGCTCTTCTTTGATGTTGATTTCGGCAACCAACTGCCGCCGTTCCACCAAAGAACCCTCTACGGCGGTTTGTAAGTCCTTAACTTGTTCCTGGGTCGTGTTTAGGTCCTGCAAGGCAAGGCGAAAAGCCCGTCGAGCTGTATCCCTTTCATCTAAAGCCTTTTCDGCTTCTCGTTTAATTTGCAGTATGCTTTCGTCTTTACTTTGACCCAGCCGCAGTAATTGCTTTTTATAGCTTAGCTCCTTTTCCTTTAACGTTTTTTCTAACGCCCCCGTTGAGGTATGTGATTTCTTAGCCTCCTCCAACTCCCTTTCTGCTTTATCCCGATCGCGTAAAGCCTGATCTAAGTGCTTTGTCATTTCTTCCATTCTTACGTCTCGTTGACTAAACTTTTTCTCAGCATTAGCGAGTAGTTGGCTTTGCTTCTTGTACTTTGCATCTTTTTCTTCCAGCGCCTTTTGCAGTTCGATAGCGCGTTTTTCTAGCGCAACCTTTTCATTCAGGGTTTGCAACCTTTCTAACATGCTTCGGGTAGCATGCTGAAAGCCTTTTAATCTTAAGACGTCGCCCCTAACGTCACCATTCTCATCAAAGAG